TGAAAGCTTTTTTTTCCTTGGGGACAATAGCAAAGATGGTGAACGTAAAAGTAAACGAAACAAAATTTTTTTCTTGTGTAGTTTTACATGAAACTGTAAATAAGGCTGTAAAGTTTATAATTTATTTGTATACCTGTAAAATACCCCCGCTTCCATCTATTAATTTTTTTCTCGCCGGTCCTGAATACGGGTCCTGTTTCAACATGGCACTGGCTTCTTCCAGCAATTTCGAAGACTTTTCTACACGAATTAGGGCGGTAGGCATATCTTGTCGTAATATTTCATCACCAGAACCGTTGATTGTCTCTTTTCCAACCTATACTCATATTATTTTTGGCGATATATGATAAATAAAATGAAGACGCTGTGAGTGAACTTAAGGAAATAATTAATATCTAATTAATTCCTTAATTTATACAAGCACATACAATAAAGATTTATTTAAAAACTCACCCTGGGCTCCCAACATAGTGGCTTTAACGGTACTCAAAATTTTCAGCTGGGTTGCAATTGTAGGAATACGTTCACAAACTTGAAGGAGATTAGTCCTGATCCTTTTGTCCGTGCATTCTCGAGCAAGCTGTTTGGCGATTCTTGTTACATCAGCACTCGCTTCTGCTATGGCTTTGGCCGTTGCTATTAGTTCCCTCTTGCTACCTAAAAAACATTTTTAAAATTAGAATATACGTCTTGTGGAATTAATTACAAAAAAATTTTTTTCGTAGTAATCACTCACCCTTATCGTCATTGTGAACGAGTTCGGACAATCTGGCCATAAGCAGGGCCATTTTCCTAGCAGCTGCTATAAGTTCGTTATCTTTGGCAGACCACTGCCTTACTTCTCTATGCAAATTATGGGCAGCAACCTATTTATAATAAAGAAAATTTTCTCATATTTAAATTAAAATGAAATCAAATTGATATTCCACGTTTTAGAAAAATAATATTAACGTAGTTGTTACCATAATTGGTTGACTAGAACTTGGGGCATGTTTGAAAACATCATCTTCATCGTCAGTTTCTGGTGGTGGTGGCCTCATTGGGGCAATCCCGTCCTCCATAGGTGGTGGTGGACGTGGTGGAGCAGATTCTTTTAAAAGAAAACCCAAAAGTCAAGAACATTCCACACAAAATATCACTAAAAATGCATTCCACATGCGCCTTTTATAGTATACCTACATTATAATGCAAGAACAACAACATACATCAATTTTTTTTTAATTTTTATGGCAGAATTCACAAATTTATAAACATTTACGGATTAGCAAATATAATTACCGTCTTCGTCCACGTACTGTGGTATGAATGAATAATAATATCCTGAGTAAGCATGAAAAATATTGGTTAAAATATATTGTGATTACCAAACAAACGTTTTTTATATAATAATTGATTTTTAGAAGATCGATGTAATAAATGACTTGTAAAATCGCAAGCAAAAATAGTAATAATTAAGACCTTGATACATGATATAGACAAATATAACAGGCAAAAAACTAATAACGATGACAGAGCAGTTACAAACTAACACCCAAATTGATCCACTCAATTAGAAAATAGATTAACATATACCTACAAAGACATTATTTCTAAAGCAGTAATTACAGCACATTC